TTATGAAATTTAACCTCCATCAATGTTCTCCTAAAACTGAGCTTCGGGGACATGAAAAAAAAATCCTCATTTTTGTATGTAAAAGTGTTTTTTTTTTTTTTCTTTTCTCTGGTACCCTAGACAAAAACAAGCATGTAACCCTTGCAGCATGGTAGAAGTACAATTACAAAGGATATTTTAAGCAGAAGACTGGAAGGGGAGCCGGAGACTTGGAAAATGCTGGAGTGAGTGTAATTGTACCAAAGGTGTGGTTACACTTTAAGGAAACTTGTCCTTACCATAAAGGTACTAATCAGACTCCAGCAGTTCTGAAATTCCTCTGCACTATTTGACAGGTCTTCTGTGGGAGATCAAATGGGATCTAAGGAAAATTACTGCTCACAAATGCATCCCAATTTTAAAGTTCCAGCCAATCAAAAGCTTAGTCCCCCCTCCCCTGTCAATACCTTTTTGCTTACATGACATCAACGTTAGGTGTCCATTTGCAGCTGTTTCTCCGATTGAGTAACACCAGTCCAGGAGAAAGTAGGTCCAGTGGTGACAGAATATTGCAGGAAGGTTAGGGGATGTAAATTGCTTTCACAAACAAAGGATTTCCCAGCAACACTTACCAGCCAGCCTGCAAAACAACCGATATGGCCCTGTCTAACCGTTTGCATTAAAAAAGGGGGTTTTGTTTGCACACATTTGCAAATACATGCGTAAGCTGCAGTCCAATGTCAAGGGTCCTCTGTATACTGTGAACCTAACTCTAAAATTTCCAGAGCCTCCATAGTAGGAGCACATGTATAAAGGGATAGGTTAAGGGCAGGTGTGCTTGGAGAAGCCCATCCCTCCTTAAAGGTACAGGGATGCATGTGATGTGCAACTATAGCAAAATTACAGCAAAGGTATCCAGTGTGAGCCTGCATCCAAATTAGCCAATGGCACAAAAAAGGACCCTTGACGTGGGACTGTGTCTTACGCATGTATTTGCAAATGTGTGCAAACAAAACCCTCTGTTTTTAATGCAATTGGTTAGGGCCAAATTGGTTGTTTTGCAGGCTGGCTGGTAAGTGTTGCTGGGAAATCCTTTGTTTGCTATATGCATTGCCCTTCCATGCTAAGGCTGGTTATAGGTTGGGACGGTTGCCATTTTTTTTTGTGCCAATGTAAATTACTTTGCATGTAAACTTGTAGCAGTTTGGGTATATTGTACTTCACAGCTACAGCTCTAAATACCCATTTCTAAAAGGCTTTACAACAAGACACAATAGCCTTCTGTGCAGACCAACAGAATATGGGTAGATGACCAGTCAATAAATGCTAAGAAGACTTGTAGTAAGTACTGGTCCCTGGAAAAAGAAATAGCTGGGACACCGATGGTAAAAGGGCATTAAGGTTCTGTTCTATGATTCATGTTGTTTCTGATTTAGGGAGAAAGTTCTTTGAGGCGTTTGACCTCTACTTGAGGGACATTCTCATTTTCACAGCCTTCCTATGGTATTAGTGTGAGCCACACACAAGGGTAGCGGTAGTCCTGTTTTTTTTTTTTTTTTTTTTTTTTTTTTTTTTTTTTTTTTTTTTTCCTTTAATACTGTTTTATGTTATATTGGGCCTGCCCAAATTTTAGCCCTTGCTTGGGAATTTCTCTATTTCTGTTTTAAAAATGTAATAAACAAAATTTAAAAAAAAAAAAAGGCATCAAGGTTAGATGATTTCTCTGCAATGACGCATACCAAAAGTACACACCATTCCTGGGCGATTACGTCTTAGGAGAATAAAACGTCATCAACTTCAGAAATCCGCTTTATATATATATATTTATATATACACACAGTTGTGCTCAAAAGTTTGCATACCCTTGGAGAATTGGTAATATACAGTATGTACCATTTTTAAAGAAAACACGAGTGAACCCGCAAAATAAATTTATTTTATTTCTTATGGGGTTTCTATTCAACTGTAGGTCCTAACAGAATGGCACAATTCTAAAACAAGACCTGGCAACAAGTAAACAAAGGAAATGACCCCTGTTCAAAAGTCTGCATACCCTTCGTTCTTAATACTGTGTATTGCACCCTTTAGCATCAATGACAGCGTTCAGTATTTTGTAATAGTTGTTTATGAGGCCCCAAATTCTTGCAGGTGGTATAGCTACAGTGTGCCAGAAGCTGTGAGATGTGTCAAGGTGCTGTTGGACCTATTGTAAACAGGCCTTTTTGTGGAATTGGCACAGTAAAGGCTTCTTTCTGGCATCTCACGATGTAGCTCTATTTTGTTCAAGTATCATTGTATTGTCCTTGAAACAACTGCACCAGAGCAGCCTGTATTTCTCTTGAGGTTACCTGTGGATTATTCTTTGTATCCTAATCAATTCTTTTGGCAGTTGTGGCTGCAATTTTTCTTGCTCTACCTGACCTTGGCTTGGTATCAAGAGATTCCCAAATTTTCCACTTCTTAATAAATGATTGAACAGTACTTGGTGGCATATTCAAGGCTTTGGATATCTTTTTATATACTTTACCATCTTTTTAAAGTTCCATTACCTTGCTATGCAGGTCTTTTCACAGTTCTTTTCTGCTCTCAATAGCTCAGTATCTAGCCTGCTCAGTGCCTCCATGTGAAAGCTAACAAACTCATTGACTATTGACAGACACTAAATGCAAGTTAAAAAGCCACAGATGTGGGAAATTAACCTTTAATTGCCATTTAACCAATGCGTGTCACCTTGAGTGTCTGTACCAAGGCTAAACATTGCAGGTATGTAAAATTTTTGATCAGGGCCATTTGTATGATTTCTGTTATTCTGAAAAGGAGCCAACTATGTGATAACAAATGACTTCATGTGTTCACTATCCTTAATCAAAAGACAGTTTTTTGGCATGATCATCCATTTTTTCAATATCAATGCCAAAATGTCATTATTGCTGCTACGATATTCAAAGTTCTACACACACACACACACACACACACACACACCCCCCCCACCAGAGGTTATAAGTAAAGAGGACCCCTGCCTTAAGCATATAGTAATGACCCCTTAGGTAATATCGCTATGTATAAAGATGGTGCCATTTCTCACTTCACTGCAACATGCAGAACTTTCATGGTCTATGGTTCTGAGAGTGCTTGATCTTATAAATGTATTCAGCGTTCAGGCCTAAAAGGGGTGTGCAGGATGTTAAAAAAAAAAAAAAAAAAAAAAAACATTCATACTCACCTATATAGATGCAGCATCTGTCCCCCGTCGCCCCTAAGACCAAGAACAGAGTGATCAAAGACCACTGATTGTTCAGTTCTTGGTCTTCAGTGAGCAGAGAACTGGTGACGATCAGTCACTGGCTCTCTGCTATTCCCCCCCAGCACTCTGTGGAGCGCCAAACTGTGGAGGGGGCAGGAGCAGCTGGCTCAGGTTCTCAGTGGTACGCTGAGTCAGCTGGCAGTCGGGCATCTGGGTGGATCCCAACATTAAAGTCAGGATCCCTCCAGAGCCCGAAGTAGCTGAGTGATGTCAGCCGACAGCAGACTTTAGCCCGCTCTCAGCTGAATACGGGTCACAGGAGTGCACTCTGAAGACCCACAGGGAAAGTAGGGCCAGAAGCTTTGGCTCTACTCCTCCTTTAAATACAGTGAGTTCTGAAAAGCATCTAAATTCTTTATGTATGATGAATATAAAAATCTTAAAAAGGCCTGTGCAGAAATACAACTCTTGGCTATAGCTTTCAACGCCTAAATTCTTGTGCACATGATGAGACTCATGTAGCAGAGTGTACATTGACCTGTCATTTGAATACTTAGAAGAAACTAACAATGATATCATTATACCTTATTTTTGGGGGTTAAAATGTACAGTATATCCGTTGGATGTCTTTATTTATGATATAACTTGCAATGCAGTTTTCAGCTTTGGTATGGAATTGCTGTTTTAATTGAGTCTCAAGAGAAGGCCAAGAGCAGTTTCCTCAAGTCCCAAGGATAGGAACCTTTTGAGCTGAGATCCCAGAGTGTTTTCCCTAGCTGAACAGGGAGAGTGATCTTCAGTCTGCAGCTCCCAGGTTCGCTAGCATAAGATTGCGTGATGTACAGCTGCTGGTTACAGCAGGCACAAAACATCATCCAGATGGTACAAGTCCCCTGTCAGGCCACATCATCATGCTGTGCAGTTATGGGCCGCTATCTTCAGGAGGAACACAGGGGAGACAAGGCGTGTTCAGAACTAGACAAGCTTATAGGTTTAAGGGATGCAGGCTTTATGGTTTATCAAAATCTTACAAGACACTGTGTGTGCAGATGTCTCTATGAGAATGATGGGGAAAGTGGGGGGGTTGTCTGCCGGCCCTCGATCATTCTGGAATCTGCAGCAATGTAATGTGCCACTGCGAAGCTGGACTGAAGGAATGGTTGGATGTTCTCCTTTTATGTTCTCTATGGCATTGCTAAAAAAAAACAGACCCATTTGCACCTGGATATTACATGAGAGGCAGGATTTGCCAAGTTATGCCCATTGACAAACATAAATGCAACTGTTTCCTTTATGGAATCTGCCGCCAAATATAACCTATCTTTTAAACATCTCATTGATGCAATGAGCTTCAGCATTTCTTGAAGCTTCTTAGAAGTCTGCTTGACGCATATTTAAAAATACCAGTCAGCTCTCCCATTAAGAACTGTGTTTAATATTTCCAGACTGGAACTGAATACTTCTTTATAAGCTTCAATAAAGCTGCTTAAAGTGTTAGTAAAGTCTTTTTAAAATAGTTTAAAAAAATGCCCCCCTACAGGTTTAGGGGCCCATTCACACCAGAACGTAGTGCCGGAATACCCTCTTTTCCTGCACCACGTTCAAAACTCCCTACATTTGCAATCTGCAGCAGATGTCAGTGTTAACAACAGTAGTAGCATTGTATCAAATAATGGTGTGGCGCTAAACTCAAAGAAAAATAATCAAATATGTGACATAATATCTTATATACATTATGTGATATAAATTGAACTGACTTCAGTGAATTCCTCAAAAAAAAAACCAAAAAGGTGAAAGTGATGTATGCAAGTCCAGCAAAAAATCCTTCAAAAGAAGTACAGTACTTAAAATGTTTTGCAGAAACACCCGGTGCCAATAAAGAGTGCAAAAAGGTCAGCAGCTTACTGGATAACATAGATCAGCCTTTCTAAATTAGGGTGCCTTTAGGTTTCTTCAGGGGTGCCTTGGGAAAATGTCTAAAAATTGCCCAAAACTTGTATACAAGCCAGCGGGTGGAACAAGCCTGCCTTTTAGTTACACAAAGCCACAGGTTTTCATTGTGCACCATTATGACCTTCTAGCCGCCAGCTTCTTGACAACCAGTGACATCAGTTGATAAGGAGGATGTCAGCTGCCTGCACAGCATCCTAATTTGATCTTCCCCTGCCCCTCTCCATCTGTCCTGGGGTCATATTAGCTGAGTGATGGAGAAGAGAAACACTGGAATACTACCTGTACCAGTGTGCAAAAGTGTATTTGCTTTGGAAGAAAAAATCACCTCTAATGTTGGGTGTCCTACATGTGTGGATATTGCTGCATTATATAAAACTATTAGAATAGCTTTTCACATTTTAGAATGGGTGCCCTTTTAAAATTATGGACAGTCTTAAGGCACCCAATTTTAGAATTCCGTGCCTCAAGACTGTCCATAATTTTATATTTCAATGTTTTTTTTCATTAATTAAACCGCATACAAAGGAATTTTGGGTTGCAGGATTACAAACAGTAAGCCTATTCACTAAGGAATGATACAATCAAAAAAATAACAGGGTGAAGAAACAAACTAAGTAATTAGGCATGAAACCAAACCTTCAGGTGCATGCTAGAGTCCAAGGTAAACTACTAAGCTACAATAGTCCAACATAAGATATTCAATGAAAATAAAGTATCTCTAAACTTATTCAATTCTTCGTCAGAAATCTGCATATATTTCAACAAAGTGGTATGTCGGAATCAAAACTATGGAAAACAGTAGTCTGAAATAAAAAGCAAGAAAAATAAAGAAAAAAAGAGTAGAGTAAAGGAGGATCAGCCAGGAGTCTTCTAAGTAACAGATATCGAATCCATGGTTCCCAAGTACTTTCAAATTTAGAAGCATTGTTATTAAGAGTACTAGTGAGCTTATCATTAATCATGATCCACTTGAATTTATTTTTGACATAGTCAAGTGGAATTACTGATTGCTTCCAGTGTTTGGCAATCGTAATTCTTGCCGCCAGGAGAATGTAAAGAATCAATTTAACCAATTTCTTGGGGATGTCTGTGGGCAATTGTTGAAAATGGGCCACCTCTGGGGACCTATGAACATTCACTCCTGTCACCGAGTAGAGAAAATTGAATAAACGGATCCAAAATCTAGTCTCCACAGGACACCGCCACCATGTATGGCACATAGTGCCCTCCTGCCCACATTGTCGAAAACAAGGAGGTGATATGGCAGGGTATATTTTAGCAGGATGCGTAGGGATTAGGTACCAACGTAGGAGCATTTTATATTTAGATTCAATAAGAGTGGTATTAGTAGAGATTTTAGATAAAGCATTAGCTATGTCCCGCCAAGCATCTAACTCTAAGGAGATATTTAGTTCCCTTTCCCATTGTATCATATAAAAAAGTTTAACGTTTGGATCAATAAGAGAAGAATATATAATAGGTAAATATATAAAAGTTCGAGAGAGGTGAGAGTAAGGGGTTCTGTCAGTGATTTAAGCTTAGAGTGTATAAAGGACACAATTTGGTTATAACAAAAGATTTCGCTAGGACGTAATTGGTATTTTTCTCGGTAATATTGTAAAGAGCATGGATGATTCCCATCCAAATAATCCCCAATACGTAGAAAGTCTTTATTGATCCACCATTGAAACACAGATGGCATTAAACCAGGTACAAATTTGGGATTACAAAAGACTAGGGCCAGGGGGGTATGAGGGGAATATAAGGACTTGCGGGTACGCAACCTATCCCATATTGCTAAAGAATAGGATAACATAGGGCATAAGATGGGAAGATGCAATCGATTGGGGAGCCACATGAGAGAACCAATAGCATAAGGATGACAAGATAAGGCTTCAATGCCAACCCATTGAGGTACAGTACCTATGGCTGTAGTGTAAGAGAGCTGCATTATCTGGGCCGTGTGAAAATAGGCCAAGAGATTAGGAAGTCCTAAACCGCCATGGTTTTTCTGGGAATATAAAGTCGAATTAATGATCTGAGGACATTTATCACCCCACACGAATCGAGCAATGTCAGATTGTAAGTGCAAACTTTCTCCTCTGGGGACTGCAATTGGTAATATCTGAAAAAATAGAGCAATCTTCGTAAAAGGGTCATCTTGATAGAATTTATTCTACCAAAACAAGATAAAGGGAAGTCCACCCAACTGCGCAAATCATTCTTGAGTCGTTTAAAAAGTGGGGGATAATTAGCACAATATAATGCTGTAATAGAACGTGTAAGATGGATCCCCAGATAGGGAAGAGAGCGGGGAGCCCATTGAAAATCAAAGTTGTCTCGAAGGTACTGAACCTCCGAAGAGGGTAAAGTGATATTTAATGCAGTTGTTTTAGCAGAATTTAGAGTGAGACCTGAAGCTTAAGAGAATCGAAGAAGTAAAGTTAACAAATTGGGCAAAGACATTCGGGGGCTGGAAAAATACATAAGAACATCATCAACAAACAGGGCACATTTGTGATTCCATCAGAGGTTCTATTGCCAATGCAAAAAGTAAGGGGGAGAGTGGACAACCCTGCCTGGTGCCTCCCCTGATGGGAAGAGGAGCCGATTAATACCCGTGAATAGAAACTTGAGGGATGTAATATAAAGCTCATAAAAGAGACAGAAAGGAGGAGCCAAACCCAAAGGTGCCCAACGTCTGAAACAAATAGTCCCAGGTCAAACTATCAAACGCTTTGTGAAGATCTAGAAGCAGCAGTAATACTTCCCTCGGCAGGGAATTATCCCAGTTAGATTGTACAGCAGAAAGTAATGCCAAAGTTTGACAAATTTGGTCAAGTGTTTGACGGCCTCTAATAAACCCTGATTGATCATCATGAATGTAATGTGCTAAAGACGTATTAAGGCGTAAAGCCAAGACCTTAACAAGGATCTTAACCTTCTTGGCAGTCTAACTAATCAATATTTTTGAATGTCAAAGCTGTACATTTTTTTGCATGGAAATTTGTTGTCTAGTAAACATCTCGGGTATGATAAAGTTTGAAACAGGAAATCGTAAATTATAATATAAATAATTATAAAAAATAATAATATAATGATAAATTTTATTCAATAATGTATTCAAACCAAAAACACTGAAATTTGAAATAGAGCACCAAGTTTGCACATCGCTGAGTTCAGTCGCAGAATCGTTTTCAGTGTCTGGTGACATATTTCCCCATGAATCATTATCACTCAATTCTGCAAGTAGTTCTAATTTACTATCGCTGTTTTCTAGCTGGTCTAAAACCGCTTTTGACCTAAAGGGACGCTTTTTGGATGCCATGGACGTTTCTCAGTTTCCAGGCAGAAAGAATGGTAAAAAGTGCAGGCAGGGCACAGGACAAAGCAGTAGGGACAAAATTTAGGTGAAATAGTTTGATACAGTAATGTAATACTAACAGATTACAGTGTATTGTGTGCATGTCAAATTTTTACTTTTTTGAATCTCCCGCCAGTTCCGTCCCCTGTACGTCCCAACGCTCGCAGGGAACGGAACTCAGAAGACGGATGCCGGCATCGGCTGGTGGACATGGCCGGGGGCAAAACAGGAGGACTTCGCGGGATTGTGGGACAAGGTAAGGCTCGAGGGATCGCTGCAGTGTAATCCCGAGTGTTGCTCTGGGTTACCGCTTATGGTACTGAAATTACCCCTAGTCACACTCGGGATTACCGCCAGGAAGGTTAAGGTCGCAACTGATTAAAGAAATCGGACAGTAATTAGGAACAGCAGAGGTATCTTTGTTAGGTTTGGGAATGACACTAATATATGCTCTATTCTCATCAAATGGCACCCAAACCCTCCGTCCCATAGATAATTAAAGTAATAACTCATATGTGGAATAAAAAGATCAGAAGAGGTTTTATAATAAATATGAGGAAGACCATCCAGTCCTGGTGATTTATGTGGAGCTAAAGTTTTTACAGCTTTCTGGTGATAGGCTGATAGGCTGGTCCATTAGGTCTCTATGGGCTTTTTGAAGAGATGGGAGAGTCAAAGATGTCAGGAAATGGCATGGGGAGGCATTATCTCAAGGCAGACTATAAAGGTCAGTATAGAAAGAGTGAAATTCTTGCAGGATCTTACCAGGGTCCTGGGACATAGTACCAGTAATTTTAGGAGGAGCTGTATGGGAGTGTCTAGGAGACAATTTACGTGCCAACAGAGAGCCTGGCCTATCCCCCCACATGAAGAATTTGTGATTAGCCCAATGTAACCATTTGTCTGCCATAGTAGTAAGGCATAAGTTAAGTTCCAATCGAGCCTGGTCAAGTTTAGCTAGTAAATTAGAGTCGGGTCCATTTATGTTGGGCTGCGAGCAGGGGCAGACTGACCATTGGGGAACTAGGGCACTGCCTGAGGGCCCGGGGTCAGTAGGGGGCCCCATGAGATGTCCCTGGTACCTTTCATAGGCTTTTTTGAGTGTGGTTTGAGTATGGACGGGGACACAGAGGCCCCATGATCCCCTATTGCCCGGGGGCCCCATGAGTTGTCAGTCCGCCCCTGGCTGCGAGATCAATATAGGCTTTAGATTTCACCAAAATCAGGTCGTCACAAGCCTTTTTGAGTTGAAACATTGACATAGACCAATGCTATTAACGCAAACGGTCTAAATTTGCTTTTGGGGTTGTTCCAGCCACCCTCCTGTCAAGGATGCAAAATTCAGGCTCCAGCAGGGTCCCTAAATAGCTCTCAAAAGCAAAGAACATGTATTTGTCACATATTTGATTATTTTTCTTTGTTTGAGTTTAGTCTTTTTAGGCTTAGCATCACAAGCCTTCTGAGTGTTGGCAGCTACATTTGAAGGGGGTTAATAATTTTAAGCACAGAGGTTTTAATGTATAATAACAGTAGTACCATGCAATCCAGTTTCTGTGTGTTTTTTAAAGTAGTTGCTTGCACTATTTTGGTGGGATCGGCGTGATTTCAGCCCATTGATTGAAGTGAAATCACACTGCACCTGGATCTTATGTTGATCCCTGTGATTCATGGTGTGAACCAGCCCTAAGTTATAATGTACTAGCATGCACCATATACTGGCACATTATGATGATAGACGTACCTGCAATCTGAGCTCTCCAGCACTGTGCTCTAATGGCTCCCCCTTGTTCACAGTGCTT